ACTTAACGGGAGTAGAAAAAATTAGACGTATAAATAGTTAGTTTTTAGAAAGTAGATTATAATATATATAATAACGATATATATTATAATTATATCTAGCTCTTTAATTTTAAAATATAGAAAGTATAGGGCGTTCGCGATATAAAAAATTATTATCGTAATTACGGAGGCCCTTAGATTAGCCTTCGCTCTAGGTTATCGATAAAATAGTTTTATAGCCGGGATTAAAGACTAGAGCGCGGCTAGTATTAAACCGGGCGTAGAAATCTATATCCACTATCTTATCCTAGCTAACCGAGGGGATCGTCCTATAGTTAAATTAGTTAAATACTAGAGGAACGCGGCTAGGGTTAAACTAGGCGTAGGTATCTATATCTACCGTCTTATCCTAGCTAACCGAGGGGATTATCCCGTAGTCAAATTAGTTAAATACTAGAGGAACGCGGCTAGGGTTAAACTAGGCGTAGGTATCTATATCCACCGTCTTATCCTAGCTAACCGAGGGGATCGTCCCGTAATTAAATTAGTTAAATGCTAGAGGGATATAGCTAGGGTTAAACTAGGCGTAGATATCTATATCTACTATCTTATCCTAGCTAATCGAGGGGATTATCCCGTAGTTATATTAGTTATAAGTTAGTAGAAGTTCTAGGACTCTACCTTCCTACTTAAAAACTAGTTATATCTATCTTACTAGATATATAGCCGCTTTTATACTATAACTTCTAGTAGAGCTTATATCTATTTCGGTATTCCTCGAGCGAGTTAGAGGTCGAGGCTCTAAATCCTAATTAATTAATTTAGATATAGCTAGCGGAACGCTTCTTTCCTATAGCGCTTAATTAGTTAATATTATATTATATTTAATTAAAGGAGGCTATCGTCTATTATATAAATATAAGTCTAGCTAGTAAAGATTAAAGCGATTACTTAATATTATAGGTCCCGAGTTAAGTAGATAACCGTACGTTTACTTATAATTTTATAGATCACCTAATATAGTAAGTTAACTTAGAACTATATAGAGTAAACTTCTACTAATTTCGCACCGCTATATTCTTTAAATCTTTCGCTATATAGTATACCTTACTACTATCGAAATTAGATATACTCTTATAGATACGCGATAAACTTACTATTATATCGAAATTAATAGGCCGTTAACTATAAAGATTTATCCTTTACTAAATTATACTAGGTATAAGATTTCTTAAGTAGACGTTTTAGAGCTATAAAACTTCTATATTTAACGTTACGAAATAAAGTGAATAATAATATTAGAATAGCTAAAATACTAATATAACTATATATCTATTCGAAAACGAGTAAACGTATACCGTCTCTAATACTATAAGATACCGATTCTTTATTTTAAAAATAAATAACTCTTTATTCTAGGAACCTACTAATAAGCCCGCTATTATCGCTAATTTCTTTCGGATCTAGAGAATATATAGACACTCGCGAGGTTCTAAAGACTTTACGTTCCTATTTATCGAACTCTATTATAAGGGACCTTTATCTAAGTCCGTATTAAAAACTCGTATCTAGTAAGTAGCCTTAGTTATAAAGTCGGATATCGACTATATAGGGGTCCTCTTAGACCTAATTATTACCGTTCTATATAAACGGATTATAATAAGATAATAAATACTTAAAAACCTTTTTAGATCGACTAGTACTATAAAGCGTATCTATAAGCCTTTAAGTATCCGAGGCTTCTAATAATTCCTTAGCTATATTATTATTTTTACTAGTCTCTTCTACTAACGATTAG